TCCATCCATCCATCCATCCATCCAGTAGCATTCATCAAGCACCTCTAACCTCACAGGCCCTGTTCTGTGGGGCTGGGAAAACACTGGTGATTAAGACCACCGTGGTCTGCCTGGCTTTTAAATGGCAGTTGTGAATTCTTTGCCTATCATTTTATAGATGTAGTTGTAGATGTAGATTCAGAAAATTGAGCCAAATGTGGTCAAAGCTATATGGAGTTTGGGAAATAGCTTTCTAATGAAGATTTTTTTTCTCTTTTTTTTCCCTTTTTCGGTTATTATTTTTTTCTAAAGGTGGTGTGCTGAGCAAACTCCGTGATCTGAGCTGTCATTTGCAGATGGGTTTGCTAAGGTTCTGTGATACCACCAGTGGCCTTTCAAGCCTGATGTGCTTTCATTTGATTTCCTTTTTGATGCAAAGGAAATTTTTAAAAATGCACTACAATCGGTGGCCTAGAAATTGTAAAAAGTATGTTCTCACTTAGAAGTAACACATAAGTGCTATATATTACCAGCAAGGAGCATTCGTTTCTTTAGAGCTAGAAAAAGAAGTGAAATGGGAGTAGCATAAAAAAAAAAGATAAATATGCATACTTTCAAAAGAGTAATTATATTTGTATGCCACCCCAAGCTGTTCTACTTTCTCTTTCCTATGTGGTGGTGATGAATTGAAAGCAAGTGGAAAAACAACAGATTGAATATTACAACAAAAGATCATGTATCAGATTCTCCAAGACAAGTTTGTTGGGAAGGTTTAAGTGATCTCTCTGAGCTTCATGCATACACAACCTAGTTCTAATGGTGTGTGGAACTTCGATGGCATTTGATGCTTAGTGACCTTATTTTGAAGCATATTATTGCTTCCAAGTATCACAATGCTGTAATTTCCTGCACACAGCAATGCTCATTTTAAGGACATCTCTTAGCTGGAAACTTAAAAAGCAAAATAATATAAAGCAAAACTAAAACAAAAAATGAGATAGTTTAGAAATATCTAGCCTTTGCAATGAGAGTCCATGAATATCAATCAACCAGCCTCATGATTCTATCTTCACCTACAGCTGCTTACATGGATGTCAAAAGAGGTCCGTTTTCTGGCCTTGAGACTCTTTCCTTTTTTCTTTTAGAGGGATGTACAACCAGGATGGCTTCCAGCCACATCTTTGGGTAAAGTGGAATCTAACCTTTTCTAAGCTTGCTTGCTAGTGATTCCTATAGTTTGTTTGTTTATTTTTGTTTTTGTTGTTTTGTTTATAATCTAAGAAGGGACCTAAGCAATCATTTGTTTAAACAAAACCACAATCAAAATGGCCTATCCACTTCAGGGACTTTAAACTGATCTGGATCCCTGGCTTCAAATGGAATAAAAAGGTGTTTAAAATGGGTCCAATATATCATTGCTTAAAAATGTCCCACATAGAGGCAAAATCAAGATCTTCGCGCGTTTAAAATAGTGTTTTGAAACCATCCAGGCCATAGTATCCACTTTGAGATCAGTTTTCATTTTTTGTGCCTTGGTCGCCTATGTTGCCACTGTGTGCACATCCTGACAAGCTGACTGGAAGCATTTGGACGCTGTGTGTTACAAACAGCTCAGTCCAGCAGGTGGAGAGAACAGTGCAAATAGATGTGCTCCTGGTGGGTACATCTGGAACAAGCACTTTGTGGTGCCCAGAGCCTAAGTGCCTTTTTGTCCATTGAAGGGAGGGGAGGGAGCCCAGTCGGCTCTAGCAGAGCCCTTCCTGTATTCATGGGCAGAATTTCAGGACCAGGAAGCAACTGGAGTGGGTCTTCACGGAGGAGGATGGATAGGGAAGACCCACTCGTTTGCTGGAGCTGGAAAATCATCTCCTACACTGATCACTTGGTCTTTAAGACACTGGATCTTCCTGTTGGCAACCCAAGTCATCCATCCTCCACCAGTGATCACAGCAATCACCATGCATACCTGATAGGGGGTCCCTGGCTTCCTCCCTGACCCTCGCAGAAGTGTTGTCAGACAAGGAGCAGTCTCTACATGCAGCTCCTGTGTTGGGGATCCATACACTGTGAGCTCAGGCTTATGTGGAATAAAAATATAACCACACCTTGCTCTAGTGCAGCGGTTCTCAACCTGTGGGTCGCGACCCCTTTGGGGGTCGAACGACCCTTTCACAGGGGTTGCCGAAGACCATTGGAAAACACATATATAATTACATATTGTTTTTGTGATTACTCACTATGCTTTAATTATGTTCAATTTGTAACAATGAAATTGGGGGTCACCACAACATGAGGAACTGTATTAAAGGGTCGCGGCATTAGGAAGGTTGAGAACCACTGCTCTAGTTCTATAAGTTGTAGGGTTAGATAAGTTATTACCAGTTTCTCTTTTTTTTCTTTTCTTTTCTTTTCTTCTCTTTCCTTCCTTCCTTTCTTATTTTTTCAGCTTGGGGTGTAGTGTTATGAACTTCCCTCTCAGGACTGGTATCACTGAGTCCCATAGATTTTGGATTGTGTTTTCATTTTCATTTGTTTATGGAGAAAGTACTTTTCCTTAGTGTACTAAGCTTGGGTGCTGGCAGCGGTTTTCCTTTTGGATTCTGGGAGAGGTCAGGCAGAATGGTGCTGGCTGGTCTCAGGCATAAGGGAGGGTGAAAGGCAGAGGAAAAGAAAAAGCTGTCACAGAGCTGCAGCAGCTGCTAGGACGCGGGCGTGCTGCCTTAGAGGTGTGTCCGCCACACTTTCCTTCCTCTTGCTTCTGATGGTGCAAATTTAGAAGTCAGGAACATTCCCAGGGTGGGGGCAGGAGGTTATGGCCCTGCGGTCCACAGAGAGAGCAGCAGAGCAGTCTTTTATAGCACTTCCTTGACGTCGAGGAAGGGCAAGGAGGGAACTTAGACTAAAACCCGAACTAAAAATGGGGAAATGTTTAAAAGGACCATAAAGGCTAGGTCATTTCTTTCCTTCCTTGTTTTTCACACGAGGAGCCATTGAGCACAGACTGACTTTCAGTTTCCTCTGTAACCAGGGATAGGGCTGAAATGATAAAGGAGCCTCACAGGCAACCCCCACAGCTCATTCCTATCCATTAGCTTCAACCTCTTCCCTTCACAAGCCTTCCAGCCCTGCTCCTGATGAGGAGAAATATGAGCTGCCGGAAGCCTAAACGACCTTGAGGCCAGACGTGTCCTCCTCTGTTGGCGGAAGGCACGGGAAAGAAGCCAGAGGTTCAGAGGGACGGGCAAGAGACTATCCGGAGTTGCACGGGGCAAAGGCTCTGCCTGCCTGCGGGGGCTTCTTCACACAGAGAGGAATGACTCCTAAAAGCGCAGAGGGAGCGGACGGGATAACCCAGTGCTTCAGGTTCCTGTACAGAAGAGGTGCTGAAGCTCTGAGAGGTTAGGGCCATTGAAGGGGCGGCAAGACGTTCCTTCTCCCTCCTACAGTCGCTGGCTGGGCCCGAGAATTAAGTTGACCTAAGACAGATGAGCAGGAGAGAAGCATGCGCGTTTTGTTATTACACATTTGGGAGCCAGAAACTGAAACATATGGGGGAGGAGGGAGGCGCTAAAGGAAGGTAAGGATTTCTCAGCCTTTTCTCTGGTGATGAGAATGTGTCTTTTCTCTCCTACAAAGAACACGGTTTTCACCTGGGAGCTCCATCGCCTGCTTCCAGGAAGCGGGAGTCAGAGTCCCCTGCCTGCATGTGCTGCTTTTCAAGCGCCTTTCACTCGAAACAATCCTATGTCCAAGTGGCATCTTTTGGGCAAAATCTGCTACCCTTCACCATCCGGCTAATTAAGTAGCAAAATAAGAACTAGGAGCTGGTCCTCCTCACTCGTCTGCGGTTACGTGACTACATCCATTTCTGTCTTGTGTCCGGCACGTTCTTCACACTCAGCTACCACCTCCTGCACAGCTACGAGGCCCAGGCCCTGTGCTCGGGGCCTCCAGGTTTATCAGCGTTATGTGCATCAGCGGTACTGCTCCTATTTCATGGATGAGGATATTGAGGTTCAGAGAGGCTCAGATTAGCATGGTACTTTCATGTGGTTTGGCCTAGAAACACAGCCTAGGCCCTAGGTAACAGCAATTTTTTAAAAATTCTTCTTTAAATTAAAAAATATATATATTTTATTGATTTTTTACAGAGAGGAAGGGAGAGGGATAGAGAGTTAGAAAATCAATGAGAGAGAAACATTGATCGGCTGCCTCCTGCACACCCACTGCTGGGGATGTGCCCGCAACCAAGGTACATGCCCTTGATCGGAATCGAACCTGGGACCCTTGAGTCCGCAGGCTGATGCTCTATCCACTGAGCCAAACCGGTTAGGGCGGTAACAGCAATTTTGATCAGGAGTCAGAGAAGTGGACCCAGAAAGACTGATTTTCTCAAGGCCACGCAGCTGGCCAGAAGTGCGGTGGAGTTGCTCCGCCAACCCAGGCTCGCTCGTGTGGCTGCCATGACTCACGTGGGATGAGCTACATGAACGGCTTTCCCTCGGCTCTGCTCTCCTAGATGCAGGGATGGGTACTCTTGAAATAAGCCTTGTAGGGCCCCGGAGACTAAAAACAGGACATTCCCACACTTTAAACTGATGCCTCCTGGGCTACTTTCTTCTCTTCGATGCTGCTGAGACCTACAGGTAGGTTAATGTGGAGAACTCTGAAGTGATCTAACCTTGGTCCACTTTTTCATCAAAATCACCTCCATCCTTATCTTCTTCATGCTACTGCTACAGATGGAGACCTGGCACCCAGGTCAGAGGAGTGAGGTTCTGGATTTATTTGGACTAACTGGGGCATGTCCTTCAGTGAGAAGATTCTAAATAACTATTCCAAGCGTAACCTGCTGACTTTCTCTCTGGTTGTGCCTAAGGCCAATGGGACAGGAGAGGCCCTGTCTTAGGGGCTGCTGTTAGCCCAGAGCCCAAATCAAATGTGAACCATGCGGTCAGCATCGGGCACCCTTGAGAGAACATTCCCTAAACAACACATAAGTATCTGGTCAAGAACAGCAACAAATTCACACTCATTTATTGTAAATCACTCATAGTTTATACATTTTTTAATGGCAAAATAACACTTAAACACCTGCTGGATGAAGAACTTCATTATGACAATCTCCTATTGGCATCGCTTCTTTTTCAAAACTTTAAAATTTTGATTTTAAATCCTACATCATCCCTAAAACGAGCTGTCTTTGAAGGGCTCCATTGCCAACACTATAAGCCTTTCTTCTGCTCTAACATCTGACACAAAGGGCACACTGTCCCATTAATTCAACATGCTCTTTACAAGGCAACTTAACACACGAAAATGTTTAAATCCAGAAGATACATAATGATCACTTTATATTTTGCTGCAAAACCAATCAAGGCCGCATGCAGGTGAAACATTAGTAGACACTGAGTTCTAGATAACTGTCAGTTAGTAAAATCTGATGGCCTGGTGTGGAAAATTAATATGCTTCTTTAGCATATTACCGAAGCAGCCAAAGTACATGCATCAGTGGCTGGGAACAATTGGATATAAATTAGGCATCTAAACACTGAAATGAGAGCTTCATTTGAGCTTCATTTGGTGTCTGGCACGTCGAGTTATATACTTTTAAGATGACGATAGCAAAGAGAGCAAAATCAAACATCCAACCAGCCACTGATTTATAGGGTCAGCTGGCTGTACAGCTCGGGACACAAAACTAGCTGGGCCACGAGCAGACCTCGGGGAACAGAGACAGTAGAGCATTAACAAGCCGTAAATAGGGCAAAAATAATAAGAGAGTCACTTCGTGTAGCCTCCTTTTTTAAAATGTTCAATTTTCGAAGTTAAACAACAAAAACACACAGTAATTGCAAAACAGAAACGTTCTTTAGTTACTACTTAGACCCCCTCCTTTGTCTGCCACCTTGCTTCTCTGTTCCTTCAGATAGTGTGTTTAAAAATAATGCTGGGGTAATTGGCAGAAAAGAAAATGCTCTCCTGAATCACACGGAAAGAATATTAAATTCCTTCATCCTGTCAGGGTTAACACTAGGTACTAGCACAAGACAATGTATGTTTGATATGTAGCTACAGCGATTAAATCACATGTCCAAGATCTAAGGCTAAATCATCGTTACACTGACTTACACATTTTTTTCATTGAAAGTTCTATCTTGACTTTGAGACAAACGAAAAATTTCCCAACCACATGGATTCCACTCCCTCCCACCCTCCGCCCCCTCCCGTGAACCAATGAGCAAGAGAACTATAGAAACAGAAGGCATGAACCAAAGTGTGTGCGGCGGGCAGGTTGGACGGCAGCTCCGGGTTCAAGCGCTGCCATCTCCAGTCCTGGCTTTCCGGGCCTCGATCATCGGCTTGGTTGCCCTTTTGCGGTCAGTGGCCAGCCCCAGCCAGCACATGATGTCAATGAACCAGGTGGTCGGGTTGAAATTTAAGCCAAATTCACTCGCAGAATAGTCAAAGGGAAAGGTGTGATGGTAATTGTGGAAGCCTTCGCCTGGGAAAGAAAGGAGCATTGAAATAAACCATTCACCACCTCTCTGCACGGATATTTTAATCACTCATCTACTGAGGATCTATGTGCCAGGCACTGTGGCAGGCTCTTTAGAGAGCAAAAGACTTGGTTCCTGCCCTTAGGAAGCTTTACTTAGTTGGCTAGAACAACTCAATGTAAACAAAATAACAACGAAGTTATCAGTATAAAGTCACTAAATAATTTCCTCTGTGAATGGAGACACGCTACCATGACTTCAGAGCTGTACTTCTTAAGCTAAGTGCTGAGAGGCTGGTAACAGACCATCATTTTGATATCCTATATAATAAAGAGTAATATGCAAATTGACCATCACTCCAACACACAAGATGGCCGCCCCCATGTGGTCAAAGATGGCCAGCAGGGGAGGGCAGTTGGGAGGAACCAGGCCTGCAGGGGAGGGCAGTTGGGGGTGATCAGGCCTGCAGGGGAGGGCAGTTAGGCATTGATCAGGCTGGCAGCGGAGTGGTTAGGGGGTGATCAGGCTGGCAGGCAGGCAGGCAGGCAGGCGAGCGGTTGGGAGCCAGCAGTCCTGGATTGTGAGAGGGATGTCTGACTGCCTGATCCAGTGGGATCAGGCCTAAACGGGCAGTCAGACATCCCTTGAGGGGTCCCAGATTGGAGAGGGTGCAGGCTGGACTGTGGGACACACAACCCGCCCCCCCCACCCTGTGCACGAATTTCATGCACTGGGCCTCTAGTATGTTCATAAAAGGAAAACAGCCTCTGTGGACTGGGGTGATTAGAGTGAGACCTTTGGAGAGCCTGGGAGAAATAAATGAGAATTGTTCCAATAGGTAAGTAAATCAAGGGTTGGGTCGTTAAATATATGAAATCTGTCTATATAGTAGTCTATCCCTCCCAGTGAATAGCTTTTCCTCCTTTTTGTTAAAGTATTTTCAGTAGGGGTGGGAGATTCTTTCAGAGCTTCTTTCATTTGATTTTTTAAAAACAACTTTATTGAGATATAACTCACTATACAATTCACCTGTTTAAAGTATAAGATTTCATGGTGTTTAGAATGCTCAGACTTGTGCATCCATCACCATAATGAATTGTAATATTTTCATTGGCTAAACCCCAGAGCTGTCATCCCCCAACCATCCTTCACACCTCCCAGCCTTACTTTCTGTCTGTGTGATGGTTAATTCTAATTTTTTTTTAATCCTCACCTGAGGACATTTTTTCCCCATTGATTTCTAGAGAGAATGGAAAGGAGGGAGAAGGGGGAGAGAGAGAGACAGAGAAACATCAACGTGAGAGAGACACATCGATTGGTTGCCTCCTACCAGGGCTGGGGAATCTGCAACTGAGGTATGAACCTTGACTGGGAATCGAACCTGCGACCCTTTGGTCTGAGGGCCAATGCTCTAACCACTGAGCAACCAGCCAAGGCTGTGATGGTTAATTCTATTTGTCAACCTGACGAGGCCAAGGGTTACCTATTAAACATTATTCTGGATGTGTCTATGAAAGTATATCTGGATGAGATTAACATTGGAATCAATGGACTCAGTAAAGTAGGTCACTTTCCCCAGTGTGGGCGTGTTTCATCCAATCCATTAAGGACCTGAATAGAACAAATGGAAGGAGGAATTTGCCCCTTTTTCCCTGACTCTCTGGTTGAACTGGGGCATCTATCTCATCTTCTCCTGCCCTCGGGCTGGAATTTACACGATTGGCTCTCTTGGTTCTCAGCTCCTTGGGTTTAATTACATCACTGGCTTCCCTGGGTCTCCAGCTTGCAGATGGCAGATCCTGGCTTCTCAGCCTCCATAATAGCATGAGCTAAATCATGATAAATCAATCGATCTTTCTATCTATATACAGAAACAATAGGATATATCTACTGTGTCTATATATAGGGAAATTTATTATGAGGAACATTACGCGCATGCACACACAGAAAGAGAGTTTCTGTTTCTCTGGAGAACACTGACTGATACAATTTCTATAGATTTGCCTATTTTGAACATTTCACATAAATGAAATCATATTATGTAATCCTCTGAGACTGGTTTCTTTCACTTAGCATACTGTTTTCAAGGTGTGGCAGGTATCAGCATTTCATTTCTTTTTATATGGATATACCACTTATCGTGCCACTGTATTTATGCAGTTGTATTTATCCATTCATCAGTTGATGGACATTTGGATTATTTCCATTTTTAGCAATTATGAATAATGTTGCTATTAGCATTCATATACAAGTTTTTGTGTGCACGTATGTTTTCATTCCTCTTAGGTATAAATCGAGGAATAGAGTTGCTGGGTTATATAGTCACTGTTTTTTACTATTTATTTATTTTTTTATTTTTATTTTTACTATTTAAAGAACTGCACGATTCTTCCATTACTACTTAAGTGGCTATAGGTCATCATATAGTTCTTCTGTTGACCACATCTGTAGTCTGCAACTTTCTTCATGTGGTCTTCTCTGCTCTGCCCCTCCACCTTCGTCATTTTTAGTTTTTTTCCTGGTCTAAAGTATGGTATAGAGAAGTTTAGCACTCCCCCCCCCCCTGTATTTTCAGAAATAGTCAGTGGTCTGTACAGCTGGGTGTAACAAGAGCCATCCAAGGACTGGGAGCCCAGTGTGGATCTGGGTAAACATAAAACCAATACCCAGCTCTTCACAGCGTGTGCTGTGGCCACATTCCTTGGGTTTCTTGGGCCTCCTTCTCTATGTAAAATGGTAACAGTCTCTCTTGTCCCCAACCATGTCCACTCTCAGGGTCAACGCTGGACATGGCTCCCCTCGTCAGAGTCCTTCTAGAAGTTGGAGGGTGACAGGAGGAGAAAGCAATAGGAGGGACAGGAAACTCTTCCTCCAGTTTCCCAGGGCACCTTTCTCTCTGCTTATCCGTCATCCCATAGCTAAATCTGGTGTCATTCCACCTTAGATATGATCTTGTCAACAAAAGATCCCTGTGGTCTTAAATGGAAAACCCTAGCAAAGTGGCGGTGGAAGCTCACTGCTGAGTGATGCGGAGATCACCCCTATTCAATAGCAGGGACTTCTCCTGGGTTTGAGCTCTGTGCTCAAGGCTCAGCTCACCAAGAAGCCCGATTGCTTCTATAGAGCTAGAGCGACACTTATTAGCCCCTTGCTGGGTGCCAGCCACGGTGCTAAGCACTCTAATGAGAATGAACTCCTGTAATCCTCACACCTCCGAGCGATGATCATCCCCATTTTAAAATGAGGATGTAAATGCACAGAAGGGACAAGTCAGTTGCCCAAGACCATATGGTTAGTAATAAAAACAACATCACTAGAGGCTTATTTTGTGCTAAGTACTGCTGCAAACGCTATGTATTAATTTATCTAACCCCCCAACAACCCCAGGAGGAGGTAAGTGCTACCATTATTCCCGCTTTACAGATGAGAACATGAGGTGTGGAGGAACCAGATAACTTGCCCAGACAGTGTGTGAAGGACCCAGGGCTCTACCAAACGTGTTGGACTCCCGAAGCCTCACTCTTAACCGTTTTGTGGTGCCCTGAGATGCCACAGTCTCATTTCTTCCCATCTCCTTATTTGAAGCCTGTTTTTTTTTATGATCAGCCAAATGGACAGCTGAGGCTAGAGTGGTCCAGGCAGTTGGAGAGAGAAGTCAACTGCTACCCTCCTGTAAGTAAATTTCCAAGGCAAAACAAATCCCTACTAAGTACTGGTCACTGCTATGTGCCAGGTACTGTACCAAGCAATTTACATAAAAAAGTATCTTACTTAATCCTTGTGACATCCCTATCAAGAAGGCATTGCTATTCCCATTTCACAGGTCAGAAGACCGTAAATCAGAGATTAAGTAACTTGTCCATGAGCCAGGATTCTAACATCAAGGCCCAAGTTCATTCCATTCCACTCCACTGCCTCTCTTTACAGATTCCGCAAAACCAGGAGAAGCCAAGAAAATCGAGCTGCCTTTCTCCCCATTGGCTCTCACACCCTACTCACCAATGGCGCCCAGTGTGACCAGCGGGTTCTGCCGCGGGCTGATGTGCTTGTCGTAGGGCCGGTTTCCATACATGTGGGCGGCACTGTTGACCAGCCAGGTGACGTTGAGTGAGATGGCATAGCGAAGGATGGAGGCCAGGAAGTAGGAATTCCACAGACTCTCTCCCCAGATGTACCAGGGCACCAGTGTGGGGACCACAAAGCACATGAGCACCACGGAGATCTTGTAGTACCTGGAAGGCAGGGCATTATGCTATCAGTGGGCACCTGCCGATGGCAGTGGGAAAGGCTGAGCAAGCTATGGGACAAGTCAGGAATTGTGCTGGTCAGCAGCTTCTACTCTTTCTGTATACGGAATACCCTGCTGTGTGCCACTCTGTGCAGGGACCACAAACCCATATACCTACAAGGTCTATGCAGGTAACATAGATTTGAGAATTAGGACAGGTAGGATGCTATAGGGAGTGGTAGGGCCTGTAGCATAATTCAAGGGAATTTCAATATAAAATGATAAACATTGTGCTGGCAAAACCCATTTGTCTTAGGGCTACATTTGTCCTATAAGCCACCAGTTTGACAGCTCCTAGCTATTTCTTTCATCAATAATTAGGTTTTCTGGAATAATTTCAAGAAGTATTCAGTATATCTGGAATAATTCTTAGACACATGATTCTGTGCTAACTTAGCTTGGTAAAAATGGAAACAACCCTCTCCCCAGAATGTTTTCTGTCCATTAAACTTCACATTCCAAACCAGCATAAAAAATAAACACTAAATAGGAACAGGCATGGGCATATAAAAAGCAATCATTAAAAAGAAACCATCAATAGTTTGATTTCTGAACCTGTGTATCCAGCAAACAGTTACCGAGCACCTACTATATGCCAGGCCCAAGTGCTGGTGAAATAAAGGCAAATTCAGCACAATCCCCGGTCCAGGCTCCCGTCAAGTGGAACCACTGTGCATTGTGCTCTGGCCACATAGGACCAGCTCTATGTGGGGACAGGAGAGGGGCTGTGACAGGAAAGTGTCCAGAGCCACCTGTTCATAGCTGTTTCCTCCCTGGCCTCCCATTGGCTAATCAAGCTTCCAAGCCTCTATTAAGATGCACATGCATTAACTGGGAGGTGTGAGGGCATGAGATTCGGCAGGTGGGAGGCTTTGACTTGCGTCAAGATCTGATTCTGGATATTGAACGGGCCTCTTTTTATTCTTTCATGGTCCTCTTGTGCAATTAGATGGTTCCCATAACACAGGACACGAGGCAGGGATTGTGTAGGGGAGATATTATGGGTACCGAGCTCATACATAGGAGTGGGCAACTGGGAAGAATGAGACAGGGAAGGAGGGCAAGCCAAGCCTGAGGTGCCCACTGCTCTGGGCAATGAAGTTGGACCTTGAGGAGTCAAAAAAGAAGGGACTACAGGGACGCCACACGGGGGTATTAGCTCCATCACACTTCCACGTTTGCTTGGGTCAGAATGGATGAATGTGTTCCACAGGCCCCTCAGGCGGAGGTGGCAGGAAGTAAGAAATAAGCAGTACAGAGAAGCAGCCAGGAGCTGCAAGATTGCGGGAACACACATGGTGAACCGCTGTCAACCGTGGATTCACGCATTCCCCAAGCAGGCTCTTTTTTTCTTTCTCTTCTAGCACTCTCTTTCCAAGTGTCTTGAGCAGATGCGTGTGCCATCATCTGCATTAGGGAATGAATGATGGGTATGTGATGCGCTGCTATAACTAGGCAGTAAAGGGTAAGGAGATCCTAAGATCTGCTCTCCTGCAAGGACTAGCACACAGCGGGTCACTGCAGCCTCGTCAGGGTGCCGGCTCTCAGTGGTCCCCGGGGTCCCCAGCAGGGACAGCTGCACTCCACAGAGGCTAAGTCTCACACCTACTGAACTTTTCATTCAAGGCTAACCTTTATTAGCTGTTAGTAAGTTAGAAGCTCTTTCCCCAAGACCAGAAAGAAAAGGAGAGCTTTTTGTAAGGCGCCTGGTTTGAGGTTTTCTTTCCTCCTCGGAGTCTGTTCATTAAAAAAGGAGATGTTGGCTACAACTTATCACAGTAGATGCATGTGGAGAATAAATAGGAACAAAAAATATGCAGATTCTCGTTCATATAATTTTTTCCCACCCCACTTTTAAAAATAAAATTTTAAGCCATTCCAAAAGAAAAGCAGGAGGGGGAGGAGGAGGAGGAGGAGGAGGAAGCAAAGGAGAAGAAGAGGAGGAAGAGGAGGAGGAGAAGAAGAATAAGAACAGCTGAGCAAGGTGCTATTGGATTGTACCTGTGCCAGCAGGTGGCTTTAGCGAGGACTGGAGTGAAAAAGTGGGCTGGAAGAGTCCAAGGCGGGGTACAAGAGATGCCTAACCCAGTTACTAATCATAATATCTCATGGAGTTCTTATGAGGATCAAATACTAATAACTAACATACAATACACTATGGGCTTACTGTGTATCATGACTATTCTGAGACCTTACGAGTACTGACTCATTTCATTCTAACAAAAACTCTAGGAGGAATGGACCACTACTATGCCATTTCCAGATGGGAAGTGGAGCAATAGAAAGGTTATGTAGCCCAAGGTCACAAGACTAATAAGTAGTAGGACCAAGATTCAAATCCAGACAGACTCACTTTGGAGATCATCGTGCTATTCTGCTGGAAATGAAATCATATATGCAAGCATGTTTTGTAGATTGCTAGCTTCACATAAGTATCGGCTCCCATAATAACTTTATTGGACAACATATTAACCCATCAGCACCTGCTTTCTAGTCATTGGGCTAGAAAGAGGTTTTCTGGGAGGTCAGATAAGTGGTTGTGGTTGAGGAGGCAAAGACAACAAACAACAAAGGGCTGGGGCCCTGGAGTGGGCTCCCCACAGCCACAGGCAGAGGCTTTTGGGGAATGCTCTCCAGAGACACCCGTGGGGAAGGGTTGGAAGGCATGACTGGGGACGCTCACCCACAGTGAGTTTCTCCAGGTCCAGTGGGGGCTCTGGGCTGGATGACCCTGTAGAGTTGTTTCAAACTGGAAGGTGTCCTGTATCCTGTAGCCACTGGTCTCAGGGCACCCCTGGGAGGGGCAAGGGCCATTCCCAGAATTCCATGTGGGCCAGGGCCATTCCCAGAATTCCATGTGGGCAAGGGCCATTCTCAGAAAGGACAGCAGCTGGAGGGTGAGGGCATCAGCTAAGGAGGGATCTGGGTGAAGCGTGCAGGCACCTGTCAGGGGCCTGGGACTGGTGGTGAGCATGTGCACAGGCAGGTGCTCTGAAGGGAACATGGAAGACATGCCCAGAGCCCAAGACTGCCGCTGCGGCAGCTCCTTGTGTGCACCTCTGAGGAGGAGAGCAAGCAGCTGGACGTTGCCAACAGAAGGCATTTTGCAGCCTAAGTGGCTCTGTCCCTTCCTCTACTCTCTGGGTTACCACCAGGACCTTTGAAAAGAGCCTCTCCCAGTCCTGTTCCGAGCCATTGTCTCAGCCCCTCGTTTTGTTCTTGAAAAGAAAACGTATTGAGGACTGGCTTTGTGCTGGGCACCAGCCTAAGTGTGTCGGGGCCCCCTGGGCTTCGGGAGGTGCCAGGCCCTCGCTCTGCCTGGCCCTATGGAATCCCCCTCCACTCCTGCCCTGGCCCTGCCTCCTCCCTCTGAACTGTTTAGGAAAGCCACCTGCTGCCTGGGCTCTGCTTCCAGAAACTCCGCTCCCCCAGGGGGCTGGTCCCGGTGCAGGGACAGCGCCAGCCGCCAGCCGTGTGGCTTCCCAAGCCAGGGGAGGAAAAGGCCTGGGTTTCACCTCCTGACACAGCCACCATCCACCCAATTTCCTCTTCCTCAAAAAAAGACGCTCTTTAAAAATCACTGCCCTCATTCTAACAAAGGTTTGGCGGATCTAATTATAGGGTTGTTCTCTGATTGCTCTTCCTGTATTCTGCTAGGGTTCCTCTTTATGTGTTCACTGTAACGGATGGAACAGGAAGGAATGTTTAGGCGAGTCTGGGTGGGATTGCCAGTGACAGCTGTAAAAATCCTCCCCAAGTATTTCAAACACATGCAGCCTATCTTCCTTCCTGCTGCCTGCCGTTCCCCTCGAGCAGCTGCTCTGCACGTCATGCAGTCACTGGCCTTCCTGCCCCCAAACAAGTGCTGAGATGGCTTCCCACCGTCCTTGCTTAAAAACACTCAGATCTGAACGCCCTCGTCAAGGCTCCACAGGGCAGTGCCACAAAGCCTCCCGCACCGAACCCTTCCTCATGTAAAAGGTTTTTCCTCAACTGGTGGGCGGGAGGGAGGCTGGAGAGGGGCCAGTGATATTGCTCTGTCCTTTTGCTAAATGTACTTTCATGTCTTAAAGCATCAGAGAATACAGGGTGGGGCAAAAGTAGGTTTACAGTTAAGGAAAAAATAATACAATAATTAATAAATAATAATACAAGAATTAACTCTGTGTTTCGTATTGTGCCAGGTACTGTCCTAGCACTGGGGATATAAAATAAACAAAACAGACAAAAATCCCTGCCTTTAAGGAGTGAGGGTATTCTGGTGGGGAAGTTGTTTTTATACATATTTTCTGGTAGGAAAAGCAGCTAATAAAATGAACAATAAATGCAGCATGTTCGTGGTAAATACTAAGATAAAAATAAAGCAGAGGAGAATATGAAGTAAGGGTAGGGTGTCCAGGGAAGGCCTACTGACACCATAGCTTTTGAGAAAAGACTTGAAGGAAGTGAGAAGTTAATCCTATGGATAAATGGGGTAGAGGATTCTAAGCAGAGGGCACCACAAGTACAAAGACCCTGGATCAGGAGTCCCCTGGTCTATGACACTTCCCCAGACTGGCTGACCTGCCTTTTCCAAATATCAGTAAACATCACCTACTCTTGGAGCATTTCCTTGGCCTCCTTGGACCAGGCAAGGTGCCCAGCACACTGTTCCTACAGCTTGTTGTGCTTCTCAACTCTCGGTATTCATACCTGCTGGCATGGGGCCATCTCACCTGCTCCATCATGGATCTCAACCCTGACCGCAAGTTAGAATCAATTGGGCAAACATTTAAAAATGACTGAGGATGGGAACTCACTGCAGCCCAACTGAATCACGATGTCTGGTCTGGGCACTGACACTTTTAATGCTTCTCCATTGCCAACATTAATGGTAGCCTCCCTATAATCCACCCACATCCTTTCTTTCTTGCTGGAATGCACTGACTTTGTTCAGATATGCAT